AAAGTAACTCCACCAGAGTTGCCTATTTCGGGTCACTTTTGCCGGTCCAAGCCCGGATTAAGGATCAGGGTTGGAATTGTGACATTACAAAAAACAATAATTGCTAAAAGAATTTAATTTGTAGTTCTAAATAAATTCTAAATGCATTTAGGACGTTTTTTACTCACTTTATGTCTCGTCCACGATGTTATTTCTCTCTCCAACAACGTAGGTTACAATTACATTAGCATGACCAATTATGCAAATTAGGTGATGACATCATTTAGCGACTTCTAGCAACTTTTAGGACAGCCAATAGCAATTTTCCTTACTGAGGAGTTGGCAACACTGCTAGTGGGTGGGTGTGCAGGATCCCTACCTGGCTGGCCATCCGGATGGGTGGACCTCTTGGGCCTCCAGCGAAGCGAGGCGACATGAAAGACTACAACACAAACATACATTTAAATAAAGATTTGACAAACGTCTCTTAAACATCTTAAACGTCACACCAGTTTCTAGGTTTCATGTTGTGTGAATACTGAAAGCAGCATAAAGCTTTAAGCTGAAACAAATGCCAAAGCATGAAGCATCAGCACTGAGAACCAGCCTTGCCACATGACTGCACATAGCAAAACCGGTGAAAAAGAAAGAGAGAATGAGAGAGAAAGGCAGCGTTACCTGACTGTGAGGTCCCATCATACTGTTAGGGGGAGGAGGCTGAGGGTGAGGAGAGCCCTGGGGACCAGGAGGACCCTGTGGCGTCACATAAAATGAAGAGGCAAAGAGGACGATACGGGAGGGACAGTGGGGAGGATGAGACGAGAGAGAAAGAGGGAGCGAGAAACCAAAGTGACAAAAGAGGGACAGACAGAGAAGCAGGGTTACTGCAGGGCAGAGGACAGTCGGAGTGCAAGTGTGGCGCAAAAAAAATAAAAAATGTACAAAATATAAAACTCTTGTTCATGTACCAAACAGTACGAGTGAGACTGAGCAAAGAAGAACAAGCAGATGACAGCCTTGAGTGACAGAAAGAGAAAGATGGAGAGGATGTGCGCTCTTTTGCCTGTCAGTCAAGACATTAAGAAGCGTGCTACATGCAGCATGTTATCACTGCTAATTTTCCTGAATTAACAGCATCAATTAAGCTCTATGCAATTAGCTTTATAAAAACACTAAACACCGGCACTGTGTCGCTAATGTTGCTGAACTGACAGAGAGAGGGGTCTAATTGAGCCTCCTCAAATTGCTCCTGGTACGGAAAGTACGAGTGTATGCATGCACTGATGGATAAACCTCAAAATGTCTATTCTGAGAATGACACGATCACATAATCACTCACAGCTTTGTGGCTTCTGCTTTATAATAAATTGCTGGATGTGTTGTGAATAGTTTGGTGTAGTAGAGACAGCGGTTTACAACTTCATGTCACCCGTAACGAGTCAGTTCCACACAGCTGCCTGTGATAAGTTTGTCTTCATGAGATATTGATTTACAGGAGGTGCTGCACCTTTCGATTTCTCCATTAGGAGAAAATGGCCTGGCCACACCTTCCTGTTTACGGCACAAGAGGGGTCCTGACAGACAGCACCGCTGTGATGTTTGCTACTAGCTTGCCGAGTACACGGAGCACAACAAAGGGAAAAGCGGCACAGATACCAGTGTGAGACCTACATCTTCACAACGCGTGAAAAACTCTACAAGCATCAAAATAATCCCTCCGACCCCCCCACAGGAAAATAATATTTTAGATTTTTATATGAAACGATAGTTGACATGATATATCAGTTGATATATCAAAAAGGGGGGGTGTTGCAGACGATATGAGCGTAGTTTATGGACTGACCTGGAAAAAGGCAGGTGGCATTGGGCCCCCTGGCATGCCATCACCAGGGGGCATCCCTCCCATCACGGGGCTGGGAGCTGCTGCTGCACTCTGACAAAGAAGAAAACAGGAGAACGAGTCAAGCTGCTGGGTTATGCTTTCAGTCGTTTTCTCTAACAACACCGCCCCACAACAAATCCAAGGAGCAGGAGGAAACTCGGCAGACGTCACTTTTTAACAAGAAAAGCTCATGTGAGAAATTGGACGGTGGCTGAATCTGAGCTGATCTCAGCTGTAATGGGTTAATGGACAAAAATCTTATCCAACTCTGAATAAAGTTTCATGCATTTCCTTTTTAAACCTAATTCAACCAACTGTCACCCACCCACACACCCCTGCCCTCAATAATATATTAATGGGGTCCTTATTGAGGTCTGATCCCTGCTGATTCAGAATCCAGTGGATCAGATAAGCATCAGTGGGATGCAGTGAGTCAGTGGCTCCAAAGTGCTGCTGCACAGCAGGGGCGAGCTGGGCCGATTTCCTGCTCAAACCGCAGCCCTAATTCACTAATGTGCCATTTGCTTCGGTCACACGCTCCTAATTGACTGAGTTTTTCTTCCCTGTAGCTGAAGCAATCGGAGATGGGCTAATGTCTTCAGAGCTATGGGCTTTAGCTTCCGAAGAACAGACACCGAGCGAGAGAAGAACATTCAGTCATATTTTTTTAATGCGTAGCTCATTCGGTGAAGTGTAGGCAACTAGGCACTGACACTACAAGAAGGGATGCATCAGCATCCACGCTCACATATAGCTCTCTTACAGACATCGCTGGTCAATATCCAACACGCTCCCTTTTATCGACTGCACCTTCCCTAATTATATCTGCTCAGGCTGCCACTGCAGGGCCACTGTGAAATACCTCAGCAGGGAGAGAAGTGAGGCCACAGTGAAAAGTCGCATCTCATCAGGCTCCTTCACCGCCAGGACGCATAAATTCCACTTCTCTACTGAGCGGCGTGGAAAACTCAGCATGGTGTGAGACTGAGGAATTGTCAAGCGTTCGTAGAATCTGGGGTTCCCTTAGATAGTCTACTGCTGCATAAAGGCGAGCACGAATGAGTGAAGATATCAGTTGCTCTTCAGTTTACTGATATGCTTCTTCCCTCGTCTTGAGCAGTTACTCACTACTCGGCCCACTCAATTAGACGGGTTTCCTGTCAGAGTTTGAATAGAAAACTGAAGGCCAGTATTAAAAATAATACTGTGAGAAATCACTGAATAATATACATTTACAAATGTACAAATAACTTCTAAGAATTAGAGCTAACCTAACTGCTAAAGCCTTTCATGGGCACTGGGTAACAATTATTAAAAATATCCGAACATTAAATAGACATAAGTACCATATTAAATGATACGATGCTGTAAACATCCATACTGAGGATGTTCAACATAAGCACTAACATACTCTACGTGGTTTAAGCCAGAGAAACCTACTTTAAAAAACGAATACCAATAAAAACTCACGACTCTACATTCAAACAAGTTGGAGCAGTAAGGCTGGTTTTAATTTTCACCCCCGTGTCGACAGTAGAGACTCACTTCAGTAAATCTTCATCGTCTCTGGTCATTTACGCTCACAAAGGCAACACTTTGTATGAGCCTGTGTCCACAGTAAAACCTTAAAAACGCAGCATTTTAACAGTGCTGTGAAGGAAGGTGTGGCACTTTCCTTTATCCAGGATCAAAACAGTAAAATGAATCCATGTTAATTTAATTTGGCAGATCATATTTTTTCACAATGCACAGATCGACTCCTGCACCAGAGCTTTTGGTAAGACTTGCGGGTTTGATCAGTGATTCGTGCTTTAGCTTATAAATCTGCACATATATCAGTTCTTTGGGGTTCTTATCTCTGTTTTGCATGTGGAAACATCATGATTCTGATCATATAGAGTAATCTAATCTATACAGAGCTGTGCACAATCCTCACAAATGCAACTCTGCTGATGCTGTTTTACATTAATCTATTTTTCATTCTAAACAGAGGTGAGCAGTTTAGAGTACTAAACAGATGCACTTTGGCTTTAATCAAACACATTTGCATTATATATTACATTACATATATTTCATGTTAAATTCTCTGGGCAGGCCTTTCTATCAAAGCGAAATTAGAAAAAGGACTTTCACCTTCTTTAGTGGGAAGGACATGTTACAAGCAGAAAATATAACTGAATCATCGCACACATGAACACAACCCGTTTTGCAAGATTTAAACTGCCCAGGCAAGTCATCCACATGCAAATAAAACGAGGATGATGTCAGGATCCTGCCTGACACATTTACTGACGTGGAAGAGTCACCAGGAAATAAACAAACAAACCAAAAACCCTTCAAATTTAGCAGCATTGGGTTTATCCTGACCAAAGGATACTTGCACAGACCAGGTGACTAACTGTAAGAAAAATAAATAATGAGTAGCCTGACAAAGCAAATGCAGACCCACTTCCACACAGGTGTACTGCCGAGTAGGGCTGCCACAAACGATTATTTTGATAGTCGACTAGTCACCGATTATTTTTGCAATTAGTCGACTAATCAGATCATCATCC